CTCTATGACTCTGCATCGCTTTGCTTTATCTCAAGGTACTGTGAAGGGTGATGGCCCAGTGGTATTAATCACTGGAGTGTTAATCCAGAGACCCAGATAACGTTCTGGGGACCCAGGTTCGAATCCCACCATGGCAGATGGTAGACTTTAAATTCAATAAAATATCTGGAATTAAGAATCTAACTATGACTGTGAATCCATTGCTGATTGTTGGGGAAAAACCCATCTGGTTCACTAATGCCCTTTAGAGAAGGAAGCTGCCATCCTTTCCTGGTCTGGCCTACATGTGACTCCACACCCATAGCAACATGGTTGACTCAACTGCCCTCTGGGCAATAAATGCTGCCTGGTCAGTGATGCCCTCATCCCGTGAATGAAAAGGGGGAAAAAAAAAGTTATCTTCCTCAGTAGAATGTGAAATGTTCCACTTACCTACAACAGCCAGGCTGATCCGATGTTGCACACTCCCATTTCGATCCTTCACCACCAGTGTGTAATAACCAGCATCGTCCATTTGCACATCTTTTATCACCAATTTGGTCTCAGTGTCTGTTGTGTCTACAGAAGTTCGAGAACTATTCAGGATCTGAAATAAGTGGACAAGAGGAACAGATGGTGAAATAGTCCAGATAAAAAAAAGGGAGAAAAGCAACACGACCTAAAAGAGCATTTCAACAGCGCGCACACACACACACACACACACACATTCAACAAAACAGCCAAAGGGTTGTGTAAATGTCCGGTAACAAACCTTAAGTATAATCTAATGGCACGGTGGCATGGTGGTTAGCACTGCTGCCTCACAGCACCAGGGATCTGGGTTCGATTCCAGCTTTGGACAATTGTCTGTGTGGAGTTTGCACATTCTGCCAGAGTCGGCATGGGTTTCCTCTAAAGTACAAGTTAGGTGGGTTGACCATGGGAAGTGCAGAGTTTCAGGGAGAGGGTAGGGGGCTGGGCATGGGCGTGATGCTCTTTGAAGAGTTGGTGTGGAATCTATTTGGACCAAATGGCCTACTTCACACTGTAGGGATTCTATGATTCTAATTCAAATGTTGTGTAGGTGCATAGGCCTTTAAAAAATGCCATCCATGGTGCAGAGAATAAACCAAGAAAGTTAATGGAGTGCTGGCCTTGATATCTAGAGGCCAGGAGTACAATGGTTCAGAAGTTATGCTGCAGTTATACAAAACCTGCTTTGATCCTACTTGGAGTACTGAGAGCAGACCTGGGCACCACACCTTAGGAAGGATATGTTGGCCTTAGATGGAGTTCAATGTAGTTTACAAGAATGTTACTTGGACTTTAGGGGTTAAGTTATGGAGGAGGGATTATACAACATTGGCCCGTTTTCTCTAGAATTGAGAAGTTTAAGGGGTAATCTGATTGACAACGTCAAGATATTAACAGGAAAAGACAGGGTAGATAAAGAAACTATTTTCACTTGTTGGGGTCTCTAGAAGTAGAGGTATAGTCTGAGAATTAGGGCCAGACCATTCAGGAGTTATGAAACACTTCTACACAGAAGGGTGGTAGATGTTTAAAACTCTCTTCCACAAACAGCTGTCGATGCTGGATCAGTTATTAACTTTGTTGCTTAACAAAAAAAAATTAAGAGATATGGGACTAAAGGCCGGTATATGGAGTTAGGCCACAGATCAGCCACAATCTCATTGAATAACAGGAGGTTAGAGGGGCCGAATGGCCTACTCCAGTTCTTGAGATTGGGTTCCAGTCAGAATTCCCAATTGGAATGTTCACACCCTGCCATTAACACCCATTCAGATCTTCAACTGAAGCAGAAAGAACAAAAAAAAAGGAAGTGAAGCAGGAATGAAGTCTTATCAAGCTCACAGTCTTCACAATTCAAGAACAGGGGTGAGGAATTCTACAGTTCTTAGTTTGTAGGGAAAGAATGATTTGAATGGCAGTGAAAAGGAGTGTATTGCTGAAGGAAGAGTTGCTCATGAAGAGGGACAAAAAAGTAATCTAAGAAAGCACTGACGTGATCATACCAAAAGTAGAGAGAGATTGCACTGGTTGAGAGAAAATGTGAATAATAATTCCACGACTCACACTTTTCTAGTGTAGGAGGCTACCAGCTCTCTCTGCATTTTAACTTGCTGCCAATCTTGTGTCTTTTCCCTGTAACGCTGAGGCTTATTTGAATATAAACCATGTGTGTTTGTGCATGAGACAGAGCATGCGTACAGGTGTGGATGTGTGCGCACATGAAAGAGAGCGAGAGAGATAGAGAGATAAGTGAAAAAAACTTGATATTTTGGGTGTTTTTCAATTTTCCATCAGGCAGGAGATACAGAAGCTTGAACACTCACCAGCAAATTCAAGAACAGCTTCTTCCCTGCTGTTATTAGACTGATGAATGGACTCTAACTTCAAATAATGTTGATCTTGCTTTGTGCACCTCCTGTGTGCCTCACTGTGTAAGCACCATATAAAATCGGTGTGTCCTTGTTTGCTAGAATCTGCTTGCAAAACAAAGCTATTCACTGTACTGAGGTAAATATGTGACCAAACCAAACAAACCAGAAACATGAAGTTGATTGTGAAAGATTGTTAAATTGATTGAAGCAATAATTGACAGCTAGCTCAAGTCAAGTGTGACTGCAGGAATAAGAGGCTGCTGGCACAGATTCCACAATTATACGATTCAAGGAAAAAGAAGATTTGAGCAGTTGAATGCACTGGTCTTCCTCCAAGTTCTACAGCAACTGCTAGACTATATGCCAATGTAAACCAGTAGCTCAAGGATCCAATTTTTAAGTACCTGATCTTTCCGTTTCAGCCATATAGCAGCAATGGGTGGAGTTCCTACAACCCCAACATACAGCTCTGCCTGCTGTCCTGCCTTTACCTCCAAGTACGTCTGGGGATCCACTAACTGAGGCGGCTCTGCTGTAACATAAACAGACAAAGATCAAACTCCCTCAAACTGTTTCACTTACAAAATCATATAAAGAAGACACTTGTTCACAAGATGCATAATAAAATTGGCTACATCTCTCCTCAAAGAGGGCCCTCCTATCTCAAAATATTCCTAGTGAGCCTTTGTTGCACTTCCTTGAAATCAAACCTGGCCTCATCCTAGGTAAGGATACCAGAACTGTAATCTGTGTAATGCCACGAAAGCCTTTGTAATTGCGCAGGAGATCAGTTTAGCTCAGTTGGCTGGACAGCTGGTTTGCAATGCAGAGTGATCCCAGCAGTGTGGGTTCAATTCGCGCACAAGCTGAAGTCACCATGAAGAACTCTCCTTCTCAACTTCTCCCCCTGCCTGGGTGGTATGGTGGCACACTGGTTAGCACTGCAGCCTCACAGCACCAGGGACCCAGGTTCGATTCCACCCTTGGATGACTGTCCGGTGTGGAGTTTGCACATTTTCCCCCGTGTCTGCATGGGTTTTCTCCGGGCGCTCTGGTTTCGTCCCATAGTCCAAGATATGCAGGCTAGGTGGATTGGCCATGCTAAATTGCCTGTAGTGTTCAGGGATGTGGTGATTTGGAGGGGGAGGGGTCAGTGTGGACTTGTTGGGCCAAAGGGCCTGTTTCCACACTGTAGGAATTCTATGATTCTACGAGATGTGGCGATCCTCAGGTTAAACCACCCCCAATTATATCTCTAATGACAGTGCAGCCCCATGGTCTGGTAAGACTGTGGCAACTTTACCTGTTTTTAAATTACAATTGAAGCAAGATTTGTTCCCTGTTACACTCTCACACTTGCAATACCGAACTTTTATTGCACTTTATGAAAAAGACCCCACAAATCTCTTCAAACACAAATAGTTACTAGCCTCTCATTTTCCAAAAAAAAAAGTGAATCTTCCTTTCTATTCTTCCTCTGAAATAGTGGATAATTTCAAACTATCCACTTGTAATGCCCCATCACTTAACAGACCCTTTAGCCTCTACAGCTTAGTTTCCCCACTTTTTTTTTTTTTTTAAAAAAATAGAAGTGTTAGCAAACTTGGAAACATTGCATGTAGCCTCCTCATCTGGGTGATTGACAGGGATTGCAAATAACGGAGACCCAAGTACTGATCCTTACAAAATAAAAAGCAAAAAGAACTGCAGATGCTGGAAATCAGAACAAAAAAATTGCTGGAAGAAACTCAGGAGTGGCAGCATCTGTGGAGATAAATCAGAAATAATGTTTCAGGTCCAGTAGCTCTTCCTCTGTACTGTGATTTTTCCATTTCAATTCTGAAGGTCGGTCACTGGACTTGTATATGCTGACTGCTTTCTCTCCACAGATGAAGAGTTTCATGAAGTGTGAAGTGTGGAGCTCATTCATTCTGTTAAAACCCCTTGAGCAAACCTCAAAAGCTCACTATGCACCTCTGAAAAACTGTAGCCAGCACAGTGGGCCCATCTATAAACATGCAGTCACAACCCCCCAGCACAAAGATGGGAAAAAAATCACCTGGTTTAGAAGACAGCTTCTTCCTCGAAGGGGATGAATCTGAAACATGAATAAAATTTAAAAGATTGAAGGGGATATGAACGAGAGGAACATACCATTGAAGACTTTGCAATACGAGATTGAAGGAGTAAGTGAGTGTATTGACTCATACATTTAGTGAAAATAAAATGATTTAAATACAAAAAATCAGATATACTCTTGCAGACAAACAGTTAACCCTCTGAGTTTAAGCAGTTTTTGGATAAAAGTGTTCTGAATGGTTAACCATACATTTCACAGCTTTCCCCAATCACGTCTAATCACCTCTCATGTAACTCGAGTTTTTTTTTAAAAAACTAAAAACTTAATATCTTACCTAACTCGGAGGTTCACTCCCTTGCCTCATCTAAAAAGATGGTAAAAGAGTTCCAATTGTTCATTGCTTTCTTCAAATTTAGTCCTTTAAAACTAACTTTGCGAGCCTCGCTTCTTCTATATTTAGGGCTTGCATCTTTCTCCATTGTCTGGGAAGCCAGGCTCAAACTTTAACGGAGCTATAGCCTGACCTGAGCAACATGCAGCCTCCCTATCAGATTCCAGATTTGCAAAGATGGTTCAGGATGGTCTTCAATTGGTTGATGCCTTCTCGAAAATAACTGAGCATGCTCAACGTAGAGTCCATCTGCCCTGGGGCTCTTCCAGCTTTGCCCACTAACTGGTACAAAACATCCTCTATCAAATGATAATATTGAGCACCAATCTCTTCTGCATTGTGTTGACATGCCAGACCAATATCTGTAAGACTTGTGCCAATACTTACACAAGTAGCACGAGATAAACCAGCCATGACCTGCTGAAAGGGGAGTCTTGATGATGAAAGAATCTTGATGATAAATGGAAAGAATCTAAAAAGGAGTCTTGAATACTTCAGCTGCTGGAGCAGTGATTCCCATCCCAAATGTGACATCAAAATGGGGACAGGGCAGGGTTTGATCCCAAATCAACACTTTGGAAGAAAGTCTTTCATCCGTAGAATCCCTACAGTGTGGAAACAGGCCCTTTGGCCCAACAAGTCCACACTGACCCTCAGAGCATCCCATCCAGACCCATTCTCCTATAACCCACCTAGCCTGCACATCTTTAGACTGTGGGAGGAAACCGGAGCAAACCCACACAGACAGTTGCCCCAGGGGGAAAATCGAACCTGGGCCCCTGGCACTGAGGCAGCAGTGCTAACCACTGAGCCACCGTGCTGCCCAATTGTGCCCCTTTGCCCAAAGCAAATGCACAGTCCCATACAACCTATACACCAGCCTGCATGGCAACCCATTTCATGGCATTTCATCCAGTCTGTACAGAACAAAATGAAATATATACTAACAATGCTACAAAAATAAAAATCTTAAAAACAGCCATTCGTAATTCTCCTTTTAAAAATCCCACTGTTACTATCTCATTTTTATATAAGGATGTAAACACCAAAGCAATGATGGAAAGATAGCACAGGAAGCCAATTTGGTCCTGATTAAATGCCATGTAAACAAAATACACAGCATATCAGCTTGTAAACTATTTTAATATTCGACAATAGATTTTTCTGTAAAATAAAGATAATCAATTATCAGAATTATGATAAGGATTCAACAGTAACCTAGGAGATCTTTTTTTGCCACCTGGACGATGCTAGGATATAGAACTCACCACCTGAATGTGTGTTAAGGAAGAAACATATTGGAAATGCTCGGTTATGTATTCAAAGAGCTGCAGTTTACATTACTATGGATCAAGTAGAAAGTGTGACCGAGCTGGGTAGCTTTTGTTTTCGTTGGCACAGACACAATAGACCCTTTCAATGCTGTAAATTTTCTATATACTTTGTGCGTCCACTTGATAAGGAAGCCCACAGCTTATCAATGGAATTTACTTAGTACATTACAGTCGTGCAATATTTAAATATGCAATGCAAAGGCAATGACATGCATTCCAATCAATCAATGTGCGTTGGTAATTTTTGAGTGGCCACCAACACATGTGCCCTTGCAGGAGGGATATAGATAAAGGTGAATGGCAGGTGTCTTTTCCCTAGGGTGGAGAATCTCAAGGCTAGGAGGCATATTTTTAAAGGTGAAAGGGGTGAAAAAAAAAAAAAAAAAAAAAAAAAAAAAATTTAGAAAAGGACATGGCGGCAACTTTTTTTTTAAAAAAACTGAAGACAGAGTGGTTCATGTGTAGAATGAACTTCCAGAGGAAGCGGTGGATGCAGGTACAGTTACAACATTCAAGACATTTGGAGGAGTTCATGAATAGAAAAGGTTTAGACGGAGAGGGCAGCACGGTGGCTCAGTGGTTAGCACTGCTGCCACATGGCACCAAGAACCCGGGTTCAATTCCACCATTGGGGGACTGTGTGTGGAGTTTGCACATTCTCCCAGTGTCTGTGTGGGTTTCCGCCAGGTGCTCTGGTTTCGTCCTGCAGTCCAAAGATGTGCAGATTAGGTGGATTGGCCATGCTAAATTGCCCATAGTGTTCGGGAATGTGTAGATTAGGTGGGTTGGGGGTGGGGGAAAAAGGGGGGTGGGGTCTGGGTGGGATGCTTTGAGGGACTTGCTGGACTGAAGGGCCTGTTTCCACACTGTAGGGATTTGGGTCAAACCCAGGTGTGACCAGTTTAGTTTGGGATTATGATCAGCATGGACTGGTTCAACCTAAAAAAAGGTCCGTTTCCAGACTGTATGATTATGACCAGCTGTTTTTCGCTCTGTGCTGTATGACTCGGAGACAATAATTGGCAATGTATATTGATAAGGTTGCCCTCTATGGCTTATCAAATCACTCTGCCTCACTGAAGATTGGTAACTCAAAATGTGACCTTTGAAGAATATTGGCATTTTTAGAGCTGTAACCCAAAAGTAGGGCAGCGTGGTCAGAAGGAATTGAGCATAAAACTGGTGAATGAAAATCAACAGCAAGAGGGAGAAGCTGGAGGAAGGTGCATTTGACCAGCTGTAGGTGCACAAAACAGAATAGACATCTCCTTGCACTGTTATTATGAAATACACAGTATAAAGTGGATATATTTTAATACAAATCCTTAACATTACCTTTAGGAAGACTTCTGTTCTTTGTACTCTGTTGGTCATCTTGACTACTGAAGTTGAGGGTTGAAAATTGGGCCATTTCAGCCTTGGCTCCAGCACCATGATGGTTTTCTTCAAATATAGTCTGACTGTCACCAATCCTACCTTCACAGTTAGTGTTGCTCATTTGCTTGGGCAAATGATGGCGTTGCTGAAGAGTTTCAAAGTCTATTAAAACAGAGGACATGCCCTTAGTACCTATCTTGTGTTGTTCTAATTGATAACCTTCAGCAAAATTAATTAATCTGGCCATCAACATCTAAAGACTATCGTGCCACTGCTTTATGCACTGTTCCTTTACTGGCATTATTGGATTATCTTTTTTCATATTACCATGTGGATTAAATGAACCAGTTATTCATGTGAGGATGTCACATGCCAAAAGATTAAAAGATTAGCGAGTTTGTTTTGCTCTCGTTAGTGCAGCAGCAAATACTGCATGAAACAGAAAGCAGAGCTGGGCTATATCCAAAAGGAACAAGCACAATCATAGAATCCCTCGTGTGGAATCAGGCCATTCAGCCCATTGAGTCCAAACTGACCCTCCAAAGAGCATCCTGCCCAAACCCAGCCCCTTACCCAATTACTGTAATGCTGCATTTCCCATGGCTAATCCACCTAACCTGAAAATCTTTGGATGGTGGAATGAAACCCAGAGGAAACCTACACAGGCATGAAGGAATATCGCAGCGATGGCTAAGAGGAGGGAGGGGCACACATCAAATAGAAATCCAACACCATGTGAATATTATGGCCAAAGCTAATGTCTCAATACAAATAAACTCTCAATTCACAGCTGGCCTGCAGCAAAATGAAGTTAGGGCTGTACCTGTCAGATGTCAGACGCCCCATGTTGTGAAGGAGGTCACAATCTCACAATGGCCATCTTATCAAATCATTAACAGTTTTCCCCTGCCCTTGTCCCCACCCCACCATCCTTCATCCCAAATCTGTTGAAGACTTATAATCCCAATACAGTGACAAATCCTCATGTGAATGTTCTTAGCTGTTGCAGATGGCGGCTCAGGCAAGGGGACCTGAAAACTTTGTTTAAGGCTAATTCTTTGCTGTGGTCGGAACAAACTCACTGGATAGATTGGAACATGACTCGTGGGGAAATAAAGTCAGAGTTATACAGTACAGAAACTAACCTTGTGGTCCAGCTCTTCCATGCTGACCAGATATCCTAACTTAATCTAGTCCCACTTGCCAGCATTTGGCCCACATCCCTGTAAATCCTTCCTATACATAAACCCATCCAGATGCCTTTTAAATGTTGTAATTGTACCAGCCTCCACTTTCACACACAGGGTGGTGCATGCATGGAACGAGCTGCCCGAGAAAGAGTTGCTCCTTTAGATCCTTTCTACGTCTTTCCCTTCTCACCTTGAACTTATGTCCTCTAGTTTTGGGCTCTCTTACCCCGGGATAAAGACCTTGACTATTCACCCTAGCCATGGCCCGCATTACTTTATAAAACCTCTGGAAGGTCACCCCTCAGCCTCCAACACGCCAAGGAAAATAGCCCCTCCCTGTAGTTCAAACCCTCCAACCCCGGCAACATCCATGTAAATCTTTTCTGAACCCTTTCGATTTTAAAACATCTTTCCTATAGCAGGGAGATCAGAATCAAATGCGGTATTCCAAAAGTGGTCTAACCCATGTCCTGTACAATTGCAACATGACATCCCAACATCCTATGATGAGAATGGATTTGGGGAACTTTTGTTTAAGGAATTAAAAAAAAAAAAAGAAAAAAAAAACTGGGGAATAGAGGCTGCAACCAGATCAGGTATCACTTCATTAAACATGAAGCAGGCTTGGAGGGCCGAGGGGCCTACTCCTGCTCCCAAATCTTGTGTCCCTAAAGGTACTTCACAGAGGAATAAGGAATTAAGGATGTGATAAGAGGATAGGAGTCAGCTAAACTTTGGCTCAAAAAAAGGGAAGAAAAGCTAGAAAAGTGAAATTTCCTTATATTCAAAGATTGGCACCATCATGGTGGGTGACAGATCATGAGGGGGAGTGAAGAAAATGGTAGGAGATCAACAGGGAGAAGCCAGATTCAGAACAATAGCAAATACAGGAGATTTTGCAGTATTAGAGAAAAAATGGGAAGACAAAATCATGAAAGGGTCGATATATAATGAGAATTGATTGTTTGAGGCACTAGACACCAAAGATCCAATGTAGGTTAGGGACAGCAGGTGCGATGGGTGGTCGTGGCTTGATGCGTCATCGGACTTGTGCAGATTGTAAGAGGAGCAAAGATTGAGAAGGGTGGAGGACCAGAGTCTAGCCAGATGAACATTACAATGTTTCAATCTGGTAATAAACAAATAAAGTAAAAAAGGTACAAATAAGTTTCAACACATGAAGCAGGAACATAAGGAATGAAACAAAATCGGAGAGGTAGAAACATGTCGTCTGTGTGAAGGAAGTAATACGGGGATCAACCAGAACACAGAGGGTGAAAACAGCATCCGTAAATGAGGATTACGAATTGCTTGGAAAGTAGAAATGTTAATGTCATTTTCCTCATTCCCCATGTTCTTGAAGTCCATGTATATATAAAAAAAAAAAAAATCAGCTCTGTTGTCCTGATCCAGTTCTATACATAATACTTAATGATCTGAATCAAAGAAAAAAGTTAATTTGACTTAAATAAAACAAATTGTGGCCAGAATTCTTTTCAGGTTCCATGTGTAACGATCAACAGTATTTTGTGACCTACAAAGGAGTATTCATTAACAGGATGAGGGCATCACTAGTTAGGCAGCATTTATTGCCCATCCCTAATTACCGCAGAGGGCAGTTCAGCATCAACCACTTTACTGTGGGTCTGGAGTCACACGTACGCCATACTTGGTAAGGATGGCAGTTTCCTTCTCCAAAAAGGAGATTAGTGAACCAGTTTTCCTGACAGTTGACAATGGGTTCATGGTCAGCATTAGATTCTTAATTCTGGTATTTTATTGAACTCAAATTCCACCATCTGCTGTGGTGGGATTTGAACTCAGCCCCCAGAATGTTATCCGGGTCTTTGCATTAACAGTCCAGCGATAATACCACTCGGCCAACGCCTCCCCTAGAGTCTAGGATTTTTATTTAGTTTCAATCACTGTACATGCAATAGAACTGTCAATTGTCCTCACTCACCTCGGACTGTCACTGTAGCACTGCAGGACGCCCTTCCTGCAACATTTTCTGCAACACATCCATATATTCCAGCATCCTCTGGCAAACAGTCCTCAACCACCCACTGAGCGACTCCATTGCTGAAAGAAGACCTGCCGAACTTTGCCGTTTGACCTGAAACCAGTTGTGTTCAAGCACCGACATCAGTAAAATAGACTGGCCAACAAAAAATTTTGTGCATTCCAATCAAGTTACATGAATAAATTACATTACTTCGCTGTGCATGTTCAAGCTTTACAGCAGCACTTCCTAAAGTGTGGGCCACAACGTCCCACTGGGATTGGAAAAGAAAAGCAGGCAGGCAGAGTAATGAGACTTGGGCCCTGGGGAGACTCCTCAATATTACAGACAACAAAAACGTAAGGCAAGAAGTGGGTCCTGGGTTAATATCAAGTTGGGCAGCAATTGCTGAATGTCTCCGAAAAAGGAGGTGACCTGCCCAGATTCACAGCTAAATTCTATACAGGGCCCAGTACAGTAGATAGTGTGCAAAGCCATCCTGCACAAGCAAAGGAGGAGGAAAAGAGGGACTTTATCTAGTCCCCTCACTGGAGAATGTCAAGTCCTTAACCGAAACTCCTGAATGTCCATAAAATAATCAGGATTTTAGAAGACAAGCTGAAGTGCAGATTTGTATTGTATTAAAAGTTGATGTATAATGCACAAATACCAAGAACTATAAACTGAACAATATCACACTGCTTTATTGATGTTTATTTTCTGCTGGCATCTGGAATCACATTATTCTCTGTGTTAAATTTACTTAAGCACTGGTTTACAGGTTTTTCCTTTGATATATTCCTCATTTCACTGTGATGGGTTTAAAAAGAAAGAAAAAAATCAGTGCAACTACCCAAGTCAGAGTCATACAGCACAGAAACAGACCCTTCGGTCCAACCAGTCCATGCCAAACATAATCCCAAACTAAAACTAGCCCCACTTGCCTGTGCTTGGCCCATATCCCTCCAAACCTCTTATTCATAGACTTATGTCTTTTAAATATCATGACTGTGCCTGCAGAAACTTCAAACCTGCCTCTTTCAATTATTTCAGACACAGTATTATAACCAAGAACTTTGGGCTTTTGGAGGTACAGCAGTAGCATCCCCATCTTTGAGGCAGGAGACCTTGCTCAAGTCCCATCTGCTCCAGGACATGTGTAATAACACAAGTAAATAAGCAGATGAAAAATATCAATTGTCACCAAGAAAATCGCAACTATTTTTAATAGATGCTATTCAGCACTGATCACCTTGATGCTGACAGAGGCTTCATTTTGCACCATGTTTGACAGCTTTATTGGTCACATGGTTACCATCAAAAAATCCCCCAAACAGAATTCTGCAGGAATTGAAACCATGACAACTGTTTCCTTTGCGTGCAACCAAATTTTTTTTTGGGAGTAAAATAGGCATGAATTATACTACATTACCAATGGAGTCTCCTGCTCCCAATCGACTTGAGCGTTGGTCCCACTGCTAAATTTACTAGTCACCTCAGGGTGAAATCTTAAAAACAGGTACCAGGTCCTTTGATTATAGAAATTAGTGGCTTAACTGGTGTCGAAAGGCCCCGTCAGAAAATTAGTCACTGATGAGCAGATATTGAACCTATATTAATTAGCGTTAATTCAAATAACACCAAAAAGAAATTTGAGATTTCAGTTACTTAACTAATATTGAACTTTTCACTACATATCTACCCATTAATCACATCTGCTGCATCTCCATGATAAGCCTTGGCCAATCAGAATAAACATGCCTGATTTGAATTTAATCTAAAGTAAAATTAACAGTTAACATTTTCTCACTGCATCTCAATGCCATCCATCAGCAGCCTCTTATGATGTTTAAAAATTGTTGTTCCCTTTCTAATTTGTTTCTTTGCATTTCAGTCCTGAAGACGACAAAAAGTTTCACTTTCATGTCTCTTAACAGTAGTTGTGACCTGTACCACAAAAATAATTGTTCAATAAACAGAATACAAATTTGCAATAAATAAATGTGTACCACCTAATTCATATGCTCATATCTAAGTAAAGGCAGTCCATGGGTTACATACAGGTTCAACTTACAAACTTACTCGGAAACAGATTTGTACACAAATCAGAATACAACATGATACCAAATATCGGAGTACAAGATAACATTTGCATGCCAGTTCAAAAACTAGTGGTAATATGGAATTACATTTGTAAGCATGAGCATCCATGTCAGACATCTGTAGGTTGGACACCCACGTATGAAAACAAAATGGAAAGAAGGTATGATTCAACTGTCACAAAAAGAGTGTTTGACAGTGATGAAGTCAGTAATTATTTCTGTATCATGGGTAGGCATGATACATGATTAATGGAGCTGATTTGGTACAATAATTGATGGGTTCACACAAAGAGCTCCAATATTCTGAAGTCAATGAAGGAAAGGCTATCATATGAAGATCATCTTGACATCGAGGACATTCAACTTTGTAATGCATTAACAATTAACAGTCAGTCCATCAAAACAACATTCTGATGTTAGTTAGTTCATACTTTTACAGCATTCAAACCATTCACTAGGGTGAGACTTTTCTTCTCTAAACACTTTCACTCAGATTTGAAATTAACCCCTAAAAATATCTTTGTTCCTTACATTTTGTTTTTGAGAAATGAATTTAATGCAAAGAAATTAAACATCTGGTCTGCAAAGTATTTACAATTCATTAATAAATAAAAACAAATATTTGGGCCCCTTTTGCACAACTTTAGGGGTTGAGATTGGTGGGAAATGTCAAATCAAGTGGTCATGAGCTAAAGGGAAAGGGTAGGTTTCAACCAAAGTGCTAAAATATTATATTATTTGTGCAAATTTGTTTATACAGCCGATTGCATTCAGCAAACATCTGATTCTTTTGCACTCCTGTACAGCGGAAGTTGACATCCTTTTAGATTGGACAGTCTTGAGATCAGCTTCCAACAAGCAGGCTTGAAGGGAAAAAAAAAGAAAAAGAAATCACCAGAATTTATCCTCACCATTTAGATACCAAGTGATAGTGATTGGAGAAGTTCCAGTAACTTTTGCCTGTAGCGTGATGGTGCTGCTTTCATCCACAGTGACATCTGTTAAGGGTTGTGCGAATACAGGGCACTCTGTACATAACAGACAAATGGGTCAGTCAAAAAAAATACAATAGTGCATTAAACTTTACATTAAAAACACATTAAAATGTTGTGTGATTTTTTTTGGTAGAGCAGTCGAGTGCAAATGATGGACCATTTGCAGCGTGGGCTCAGGCTAAAAATTATGACAACAGCCAAATGCATTTCAAACCCATTTCCTGACATGACTTCCATCCAATCAGCACTGCATAGATTTAAACATTTCTCAACATTTACTAACCCACTAGCCCCGTCCGGAATTTCCAGTGGAAGTATTCTGCCATCAATACCATATTAGGTCATTTCATGACATGAGAAACTTGTCAACACCTTTTTAGGTGTGAAATAAAGCGAAAGAATTGACACTATGCCACAAGATGTCTGGGCAGATGTCAGAAAGAAAGGAAAAAAAAAACAAACTTTAAATTTGATTCATTTGTGGGACGTGGACGTCGCTGGTTGACCAGCGGTTATTGCTTGTTCCTCGTTGTCCTTGAAGCTGATGGTGAGTTGCTGCCTTGAACTGTGGGTTAACCCACAATGCCATTAGGGAGAGAATTACAAGATTTTTGACCCAGTGGTCAGTGAAGGAACGATGATATATTTCCAAGTCAGGATGGTGAGTCGGTTAGAGGGGAACTTGAAGGTGGTGCTGTTCCCAAGTTTCTGCTGCTTTTGATGGAAGTTTGGAAGGTGCTGTTGAAAGGATCTTTAGTGAAATTCTGCAGTACATCCTATAGACAGTATGTACTGCAGCTTCTGAACAGTGCTGGAGGGTGTGGATGTCGGCCAATCAAGTGGGCTGCTTAGTCCTGGATGGTATCAAGCTGGAGTGTTGTTGGAGCAACACCCAAAACAGGCAAGTGGGGGAGTATTCCATCACACTCCTGACTAGTGCCTTGTAGATAAGTAGGCTTTGGGAAGGCAGGGGGGCGAGTCACTTGCCACAGTACTCTGTGTCTGACCGGTTCTTGTAGTCACTGTATGAGACCAGTTGAGTTTCTCGTCAATAGTTTTCTAGGATGTTGATAGTGGGGGATTCAATGATCGTAATACCATTGAATGTCAAAGGGGCAGTGGTTAGTTTGTCTCTTATTGGTGATTGTTATTGGCATCATACCAAATTCTAGGCAAAAGTGTTATTTGCCACTTAAATCAGCCCAAGCCTGGACATTGTCCAGATTTTGTTGCATTTGAACCAGATCTGCTTCAGTATCTGAGGATTTGTGAAAAGGTGCTGAATGTTGCACTACTGGCAAACATCCCCACTTCTGACCTTATGATTGAGGGAAGGTCAGTAACAAAGCAGCTAAAAAGATGTTTGGACCTAGGTCACTACCCTGAGAAACTCCTGCAGAGATGTCCTGGAGCGGAGTTGACATACCTCGAACAACCCACAACCATCTTCCTGCATAGCAGGTAGGACTCCAACCACCAGAGAGAGTTTGCCTCCGATACCCATCGATTCCAGTTTTGTTCGGGCTTTGATGCGACATTCTAATCAAATGCAGCCTTGATGTCTGGAATTCAGCACTGTTGTCCATGTTTGAACAAAGGCTGTAGTGAGGTCTGGAGCTGAGCGGCCCCTGGCAGAACCCAAACTGGGCATCACCGAGCAGGTGCTGCTCAATAGCACTGTTGATGACACCTTCCATCACTTTAAAGATGATAGAGAGTGTAGATTGATGGGGCAATATAGTGGGCTGGGTTGGATTTGTCCTTTTGCCTAGAAAGGCTGTACCTGGGCAATTTTCCACATTGTTGGGTAGAGGTCACCTGTTGTCGAGCTATTCCAGGACAGTTACTAGGGGTGCGGCAAGTTCTGAAGCACAAGTCTTCAGTACTATTGCCGGAATGTTGTCAGGGCCCGTAGCCTTCGCAGTATCCAGTGTCTCCAACTGTTTCTTGATATCACGTGGAGTGAATTGAATTGGCTGAAGCCTGGTATCTGTAATGCTGGGGACCACTGGAGGAGGCCGAGATGGATCATCTACTTTGCACTTCTGGCTGAATATTGCTGCAAATGCTTCAACCTTATCTTTTGTGCGAATCAATTGGGCTCTTCCATCATTGAGCATTGGGGATGTGTGGAGCCTCCTCATCCAGTGAGTGGTTTCAAATTATCCACCACCATTCCTGACTCACTGTGGCAGGACTGTAGAGCTTAGATCTAATCCATTGGTTGTGGGATTCCTTAGCTCTGCCTATCACTTCCTGCTTATGCTGTTTAGCGTGCAAGTGGTCCTGTCTGGTCGACTCATCAAGTTGACACCTCATTTTTACATATACCTGATGCTGCACCTGGCACGACTTCCTGCAATCTCCATTGAACCAGGGTTGATCCTCTGGCTTGATGGTAATGGTTAAGTGGGGGATATGCCGGGCCATGAGCTTTCAGATTGTGCTGGAGTACAGTTCTGCTGCTGTTGATGTCCTACAGCACCTATTGGATGCTCAGTCCCGAGTTACTAAATCTGTTCAGAGTTGTAAGCAGTGATAGAGTCACACAACACGATGGAAGTTAGCTATTCTCAATGTGAAGGTGGGATTCATCTCCACAAAAGGACTGTGCAGTGATGTAGGAACTGCAGATCCTGGAGGAGAATCTGAGAACAAGGTGGTGTAGAGCTGGATGAACACAGCAGGAAAGCTGATGTTTCGGGCCGTTTCTGAAGGGTCTAGGCCTGAGACATCAGCCTTCCTACTCCTCTGATGCTGCTCGGCCTGCTGTGTTCATCCAGCTCTACACCTGGTTATCTAAAAAAGAAAAAGAACTGTGCAGTGGTCACTCTTACCAATACTGTCATGGACAGATGTATCTGCAGCTGGCAGATTCGTAAGGTTGAGGTGAAGCAGGTATTTCCCTCGTCATTTTTGACCACTTGCAGCAAACCCAGTCTAGAAACTATGTCTTTTAGAAACCAACCAGTTTGATCAGTAGCACTGCTGCTGAGCCAGTCTTGGTGGTGGACATTGAAATCCTGAGTGCGTTTTGCACCCTTTCCATTCAGTGCTTCCTCCAAGTACTGCTCAACATGGAGGAGCAGTGATTCATTAGCTGAGGTAGATTTGTACATGGTGATCAGCAAAAAGGCTTCCTTGCCCAAAGTTGGTGTTGAGGACTCGAAGGGCAACTCCCTCCTGACTATATGCCACTGTGCTATCACCTCTGGGTCTGTCCTGCGAGTGGAACAGCACATATCCAGGGATGGTGATGGTTTTACTGGATCATCGCCTGTAAGGTAGGATTCCGAGTATGACTTTATTAGACTGTTGTTTGACTGGTTTGAGACATGCTCTTCCAATTTTCACACTCGCCCCAAGATGTTAGTGAGCAGGATTTTGCAGTGTCAATGGGGCTGTTCCTACTGTTGTGTCTTTTCTTGTGCTTAGGTTGATGCTTGGTGGTCCACCTGGTTTCATTGTTTTGTTGAGACTTTGTAGCGACTGATATAACTGAGCAGCTTGCTAGGCTATTTCAGAGGGCAACTGAGGGTCCATGACATTGCTGAGCATCTGGAGTCACACGTGGGCAAGGATGGCAGGTTTCTTTTCCTGAAGGACATCCAGTGAACCAAACGGATTTTTCTAACAAAAATTGACAATGGTTGGTCATCAGTAGATTTTTAATTCTGGCATTTTTTAAAAATTGAATCTCATGGTGGGATTCTAATAGGTCCCCATAACATGAGCCAAGTTTCTAGATAGAGTTCAGCGATACCACCACTAAACCATTGTCTTCTCCTAAAGTTGCATCTTGAAGGAGGAATGGGGATGAGGGGGGTAGAGGGATTTACAGAGCTTTAAGGACTTAGTAGCTAAAGGCATGACCACCAATGGTCTGGATATTAGACCATTATGCATCTTATACAACACACTGCAGTTTTACAATAACTGTTATGTTAAGACTTCCAAGTTAAAAGCTCAAAATGGTCATAAATGCCCCTTTCATTTAGAAATCTTCCTGACCCTACTTGGGAGCAGGGAAGAAACAACAAAATCAGTTGTAGACAGATAAATGGGGGTGAAGATGCACACAAGAGTAACAGGTGCATTTAGCATCAATGCTAAGCTGGCACTGGCTAGGTATGTTCCTCAATGTTAGAACGGTTGACACTTTGATGAGCCAGTTGCAGTAACACTTGCAGAGTTGGATCCAGCGTGCTTGAGAATTTTGGCTCCTGTGAGCCAATAAACAGAAAAAAAATTCCCAAATCTTTGAGAAAATGATTTGATATTTAACAAAAACATTAATTACACAGAAACACAGTAAAGCATCTGGCAAGTTTCCAAGGCCAAATGTTTAGTCCAAAAGTCAGTCGCCAGCTTTTACACAAGTCAGATTTTGGATGGATAGAAAAATCATTTTGTTATAGCATCACCAAATCAGAGACTGTCACCCTGCCCCCCCCCCCCCCCCCCCCAAAAAGGAGGTAAAAAATGTTTATCATATTTTTAGGAAGTGAACAACAACCGAACGGAGACAGATATTTTAGTGCATAGCAATCACTCAAAGCTGTTCAAATTCAAAGACAAAAGCCATATATGATGTCAAAAAAAATTATATAACTGCAATTTTCTACTGTCATAGTACAGAAAGAAACAGGACTTAGCACTAGGAGCATGCAATGAAAGGGCATTAAAAATCCATGAAAATCTTCTGAGCCAAAAGAACATCTCACATTCTATTTAATCCTCACATGTATGACTGCAGATGATCCATCATTCCATAAACCATCAGCTTGTGTGTCATCAAATACATTAGATATCCCACGCTTTGTCCCTCACCATGACACTTAAATGAATGAGATGCCATGAATTTTGGCGATAGAGGGATGGGAGGTTTAGGAAGAGGATTTGAGAAGATTTTTTCACTGAGGGCAATGAATATCTGGAACACATTGCTGGAAAAGGGTGGAGACGTTGGGAACCATCACAACACTCACTCAACACCCATTGAAATTAGCTGATCACTCAAAATGCCAGAATAT